CTGGGTCTTGAACCCGCGACCTTCGAATTACTAGATCGACGCTCTACCAACTGAGCTACACGGTCAGACGGATTTTAGACTGGAAATTATGAAATATATACTGAATGTCATAAACATACTCGTTTATATTAATTCAGCATCGAACAATATCAGTTCTGCAAGTGTTATGTTGAGTTGTGTAATTGTACACTCCGTAATATGTTAAGGTGAAAATGTTCTTCAGTGTGTATGATATAATTTCCATACCCAGCGTAAGCAGAAAGATAAAGTCTGCCGCGGCTGGGTATATATAATAAAGTGTGTGATGTGTGTGTGCGGAAATGTGTACGGAAGTTTTACAACTTGTGAATATCCACAGGATGCTGTGAACCTCTTAATTATAGTTCCTGCAGTGATGAGTTTATGATTGATCAACATTATTTGAATAACAATTTGATTCTACCATTATTACCTGTTAACGGGATTATATCTTTTGTAAGCGTCATTAATCCACTGAGAAATGTTATATACAACAATTATGTCTTTAGTGTCTTGAATAACATACCCATGCATTCTGTTTCTTGGGAATGTTTTTGCTTGCTGGAACAAAATATTATATACGAAGTGAAATCTGCGTCATTTTGATGAAGTGTTTCGGAAGGTCAAGTCGTGTTTGTGAGCATTTCATTAGTTAAACCTGCAAAAGAAGAAAGTGAGTCATCAGTTTGCATCATTACATACACAATGCAGCAAGCTGAACGTAGATCTGATAGTATTGATCGAATATTATTAATTAAAAATTCTTCTTTGTTGCGCTGCAGGAAGAAAGTGATACTCTGGGGTCAGGAAAGACACTTATAAAATATCTACGTTCCTGTGAATATACTTCAATCCTCAAAGAGCAAATATCTGAAATCCCACCCGGAATCGAGCTCGTATCTCCCGTTTGCTGGTTTGATCTGCAAAACATGCATGCTTTAGCGTCCTACTCTTCATCGGAGCAGCTTGGTACACATCTAGACACGCGATGAATTTGGTATTAATATAAATACAACTTGCTCCCACAAGCGCATGTGGTACAGCACTGGCCATCAACGCACGCATGCAAGCATGCACACAATGTGATGCATATGTGGCCAGAGTGCTCAAACAACCGCAAGAGAAATGAGCTTTGCGTTATTGCTAATGGACAGCGTCATTAGTGCAATCTGCAAACATGCGTAACAGTACAATCTGCACACATGCATGTTTCGGCGTCCCTATATATTAATATTAATATATCGCTGATTTGTGTCTGCAAATTTTCGCTAATTCATCCCATGGGGGAATTATTGCATTTCATAAAATTTTGTCACTAAAAAATTAAAACTTCGTGTTCCTGTGAAAAACATGATTTTTTGCACTTGTGTGGTGTATCAGTTTTTTCTTGTGCGCGTAGTGGTTTAAGTTGGTCGAGACTAAACATATAATATCAAATAATACGTCGGTTTATGCTTAATTTATGTAACGACGTCAACATTTTTATTTACTACAGATCGTGAAAAAACAGAGAATATTAGAAAAAATAACAAGGAAGATGGGGGATAGGTTTACCAAAAAATAGAAAATGGAACATTACAATGAGCTTGCCTTTGTTGACGTCCTGTGATAAATTTTGTAGGAATTTAGCACTTGAGAATTGTCTTTTAGTATTCCCACTTAATTATAGTTCCCCTTCATGCATTTGATGCGTTTACGATTGATCTACTTTTTATTTGCATGACTTTTAGTATAGATCATCACCGATATCCCATTTAAAGTTTACGAGATCGCAGTTTTAATTGTAAATATCATTATCGTATATAACATTTAAATGTCTTTATAGTGTTATAATGTCTTGAAAGGCATATTAATAATGCATTTTAGTTCTTCTACATATTTTTGTTTGTTCGAACAGGATATTGTATTTGATATTTACGTCATTTCGATGAAGTGGTTTGAAAGGTCAAATCCTGTTACTGAACATCCCGTAAAACATGCATGAGAACAAGTTTATTATACATACACAACACAACACAACCAGCTGAACGTAGAACTAACGGACAGACGGTATATTTAATTCCATCAAGCAAGAATAAAAGTTACTTTAGCTTTGTGCTATTGCAGAAAAAATCTTTTTGCGGCCCTACCGGAAGACAATGATTCTCACGGATCAGGAAAGGCACTTGTGAAATAATTGCGTTTGCATGAACAAAAGTATGACATATCTTATTAATAATTGTGAAAGATTATTTTTATTATGTAAATACAAACCAGTCATTAAAATTATTATAGGTCTATTTCCTCTGTTATTCATGTTATGCTGTATTCATTTCATTTCTTTATGATTCAATTCTTTCATTTCATTTTTGTAAAACGTAATATGTATCAGTTTGCAAATCTCATCATCAATTTCAACATAATTAACCAGCCCGGCCGAGGCCAATGACCCTGATTAAAATAGCCAATAGCATCTTGTGATGGAATAGCCATTGAAAATGATGTTGTATAGTTCGGGAAAGAGCTAATGAACCTTTCCAGGTTTAAAGCAGGGGTCGTGCTGGAGCCTTGAAAAGGACGGCCCAGGCCCAGTGAAGGATGGATGAAGATTGGGGTGGGGGTATTACTGATCAAACATAAAACATTGCAATCACTAATTAATCTTTTTCCCCAAAAAATGTTGGCGAGGGGGGAGGGAGGTAAAAAAATTCAGGGCACACCATTTCATTTCAGTAAATATTGAACTAATGTGCCGTAATTATTACATTTTTCGGTAATATTTTCGTAAATTTAGATTTTTAAAATATATATTGTAATATCTTGATCTTTGATTTTCAAAATAAAAATCTATATTTTTTATCTTTTCCAATGTTAGGAGCCCATGATGGTAGGGGCCCACAGCAAGTTCTTGTCGGCTCGTCCCCAACCAGCCCGTCCATGGTTTAAATTATTAATTATTTAGTTAAATATCAGGATTTTGGGCATCTCACTCGTTATAAGTTTTTCAAGAGATTTGTAGATGGAAATTTCTTGCGGAGTTCCACTCGAAATTTCCATCTACAAAGCCTTTTAACGCAAATATGGATTATAGTTATCGTGTTTTTCCTATTCTTCCCATGCAGTAACTTTTATCACTCTGTGTAGCTACACTAATTATGTGGGGGGGGTTATTGCATTTTATAATATTTCAGTTGTCAGTTATTAGGGGTTTTTTTCTTTTTTGTGTAGGCGTTTAAGTTTAACAGGGGATTATAGAATGTCAGTTAATACGAGGGTAGCTATATTCTTCTTTTTTACATAATGTGGTTTGTGTAAAAAGAGTTCGACAATTTTAGAACCGTGAAAAAAAGGCAACATTTAATTAAAAAGCAATATGTTACAGACAACAAGGGTTAGGTTTACCAAAGAAATAGAACGAAAATTAAACATGTAACAAAGAGCTTGCCTTTCTTAGTCTCCTTCGATAAACGCTAATTAAACTGATGACAGCACTTTGCAAACACAAAAGACCGTATAAAAACCTGGTTTTAAATTACAGGAAGAGTCACAAGTACAACACAATATTATTTCCGCTGAATGTAAAATGCAGAATGTCCGTGCGAAATTATACGTGCGGAATGACATGCACAATGAGTGCGGAATTGCATGCATGCAAATGCACGGAACCCTTTTGGAAAATTATGCAATTTTTTTAAACTTTAATCTTAACCACTCTCCTAATTCTAACTTCAACCCCGTCCATATCTACATGTATTTGACTTTTTATTGGTCGAAATCTATAAAAATAAGAGACATTGCATGACGTCGCCGAGGTAGTAGGAGCTACCACTGGAGATTAATTGCCGTTCACCCCTAAGTCATGTCATGGACGATAATATACATGCATGGCTTAAAGGTGGATTTCCAGTCCTCGCACGAAGCTCCTCGCAGCTCGCTGCGAGTGATGCATGAGCACTTTCATTCAATTACAATGCAAAACAGTTAATTTTAATTAGATGCAAGCACTCGCAGCGGGCTGCGAGGAGCTTCGTGCGAGGACTGAAAAACCGCCTTTATACTACACTATATCTA